AGACTAGGATTATTAATCTTCTTGAGGGCTCAAACTAGTATAAATCTTTGCGTTCTTGTCTGCTTGATACAGTCTCGCGTATACCCTGGTTACAACAATCCCCATACTTATAAATCCCGTCTACGGGTATAGCCCGTCAACAATTTTGAAGTTTGCTGATTGCATGTTATTTCAGTATTAATTTTAAGTTACTAATAATACACACATATACATAAATAAAAGTTTCACCCACAAATTAAATTTGGTTGCTAGCAAGCATTACAACTTATAATCAACTGTACACAAAACATACAAAAGCAAAAGGTTGAGAGAACTGATTTTTCTGGACGAAACCCATTTTAAACTTAAACTGTAGGTGGGTCATAAGCGCTCCTGTCTGCAAAGGAGTGGGGACGGCAAGGTGGTGGACGACCACGACGATGGATCTCGAGCTACGGGGCCTCGGCAACGGCAGTGGTGACAACGAGCAACGACAGACTAAGAGCTAGCTAGGCTTTCGGGTTTCAATTTTTGGGATTTTTTTTCGTGATTTTTCTTTTCGCAAGCGGGTGACATAAGCACCCACCCGCGAAAAACGGATTTTCGCGTGCATGTGCTCCACCCGCATGGAAAAATAGTGACTTTTACAGACGCCTTCAGGCATATTGAGAGTCCAACTGAATGGAAAAATAGATTTTGACCACATGCATAAATACTTTTTTAATAGTGTGATAGAGGAGGCGAAGAAGTAGCTATAGTTTAAAACCAAATTAACATCAGAAAGCAACCATATTTCGGGACAAAATGAGTATTTGTTACGTTTATTTATTAATTTATTACTTTATCATATAATTAAGTAGTTAATCTATAAAGGAATATTTTATTCACTAGAAAAATTATCCGTTCGTTGTAACAGGGGAAGGCTATTTTAATTTCATTATTGTTATACGGTTTAGTTAAGGTGAAATTCACCGTGAGAATTCGCTTGGATATATTTTTTTAGAAAATCATGAACTGCAATTAAGAGTCCGATCATCTTAAGTTAGCATGTAAGTTTTTCTAAAGAGATTTATTATACGACTGCTCCTGTATTTCCAAAAGCGAACAAACTCAAAACCTGACTTAAAAATAGATATTTATTTCCTAAAGCGAACAAACTTAAAAACTGACTCATACATAGATGATGTACCAAAGTACCGGTAAAAACATCTTCAATTTTTATAATAGTTTCACTGTGAGAATTCACTTGGATATATATTTTTCTAGAAAAATCATGAGTTGTAATTAGGAGTCTGATCATCTCAAATTAGCATGTAAGTCTTTTTTTAAAGAGATTTCTTATACGACTCTTCATGTATTTCCCAAAATGAACGAATTTAAAAACCAACTGAAATACAAATATATATTTCCAAAAGTGAACAAACTTAAAACCGACTCATACACAGATAACGTACCAAGGTACCGGAAAAAATATCTTCAATTTTTATAATAGTAGAGAAGAGAAATGCTGGTGCTGTTGTACAATTTTTATAATAGTAGAGAAGTGAAATGCTTGTGCCGTCGTACGTGGCACCATCGTACGGCCACGTCTCCGTGGCAAAGTATGGTTGAATAAGTTGTGTGCCAGATAGAAGTGAGATCACGGTCACATGTTAGGAAAATATGTGGTGGAAATAAATATTGTGAAACTTGAAAACTAACGTTAGATCGAAAAATAGATATTCGAGATTCATCTATATCATCATGAGTAAAAATAGTACAATTTTTACTCATGAGTAAATCCGTGAGTAAAATTTCTACTTGTAATGACGTGGATGAATCTTGAAAGTCCATTGTCCACTACATATGTGATTTTCACCTCATATTTACCCTCACATCTTGACATTCATATGTTCTATCGAAAGTCCATTGTCCACTGCATATGTGATTTTCACCTCATATTTTTCCTCACATCTTGACATTCATGTGTTATATCCCAATTTTTTTTTCAGTCGAACCGGGGTATAGATACTGCATGTGCATGATATTGATAACCTCACGTATCCTAACCTCGTAATTTTTAGCGAATTCATCATATACTAACTTGGTGTAATACTGTATTTGCTCTCGCCTATCCTTCCCGCGAATCTCGGCTTAAGCGGACTAGCTGTTTTTACTCCTATACCAAAAGGTTGACTTTACTACATAGGGTCTCATCCTTTACCAAAAGCTTATAAACCACCGTTAAATTTTAAATTTTATAAATTTGATTTTGACGATTTTAACAAAGTTTTTTTAATTATCTTTTAAATCGTTAAAAACATATATGTAAAAGTTTTATCTATACACTATTATTTTATCACTAATCACGATATGTGCCTAAGGCCATAAATGTTATTCCCTCCGTATTTTAATGTATGATGCCATTGACTTTTTTGACCATTCATTTTATTCAAATTTTTTGTGCAAATATAAAAATATATGTCATGCTAAAGAACATTTAATAATAAATCAAGTCACAATAAAATAAATAACAATTACATAATTTTTTTTAAAATAAGACGAATGGTCAAACGTTAAACGAAAAGTCAACGATATCATACGTTAAAATATGGAGTTAGTATTTAGGAATTTTATTCTTTTTCCCCTACCGTCTTGAGAGTGCCAGCCAATATATGGCCTCCTCTCCAGCAAGGAACTAATTATACAATCTGTTAATTAAGTCTATCATTAAGCTGTGCAGTGGGATGATGGGCATACAGAATCCGGGGCCTAATCAATCACGGGATCAATCATGCTGTGTTGCTGTGCTCCACCCCAAACGAAGGACAACAGGATAAGGATCATACTAGGAGGGAGGAGTTATATATCGGTGTGCCTTCCTGTCATCCTGTGTGCGCGTGCGTGTGTGTGTGCATTATTTAATGGAGGGGAGGAGGGGTGGCGTGTGCAACAGCGCAAGGCTACAAAAGCCTTGCTCAGAAGTCAGGGCCTCGCACCGTACGTGCTGTTTCATCGGTTTTCAGAGCCCCTCCGGCCGGAATTACCGAATAGCCGGTACGGATGAAAACGGTCGGAAACGATACCTTTATTTTGTTTTTTTTGTTTTTTTTAAAAAAAAGCAGGTGGAAATGGTTGGAAAATTTTCATATTTATGAATTGAACTATATAGTATCAACTTCGGTATCACGTTGACATAAATTGAAAAAAACTAAATTTTGACAACAAGAACCGTCGGTAAATATATTATCACTATTAATTTTACGGAAACGGTATCGGTACGGTCGGAAAATTTTTATACCATTTTCACCCTTAGCCGAAATCCTTCCCACCCGCTGCTTATGAAAAATATGATTTGTAAAACGTAAAAATGATCAAACAAATACCTCCCTCCTAAAATATACAAGGAGTAAGAAGTTTTAAGAATTAGATCGTAGTGTTAAAAAAGTAAGTGAAATTAAACATAAAAAAAGATTATGTTTTCGAAAGAGTAGTATAGGTGAAGAATTTAAATGGTCGAAGGTTATGATTGGTTGAGAATAGAATATAGGTGAACAAGTTATTATATTTTAAAATAAATTTTGAATGCTATATGTCATAATATTTTCGGTATAAATTAAGAACTCTAGAAGTAGTAAGGGTGCATTCTATATAGCTTTTCACAACAGCTATTTCATCGTTCTCTGTGAACACATTTTCCAAACTAGTTCTATTTTTGTTCTAAAATATAATGGGATATTTTCTGGGTCTATTTTGGAGGGAGTAGAAGTTATTCCTATTTATCTGTTTTTTTTTTCACAGAGTCCAAATCTTTTGTCTGCACAATTGGACTGGACCCAGTGTAGGGAATTTTTTCATTTTTAAATTTATATTTTTTAATACATATAGAAATATTATACCGGCAAAAATATTTAAAAAATAGACTCTGCCGCCCTCCCCGGAATAGAAGTTATTCCTATTTCTATGTTTTTTTTCAAATAGCCCAAATCTTTTGTCCTCACGACTGGACTGGACCCGGTGTAGGGAATTTTTTTCATTTTTAAATTTATATTTTTAATATTTATAGAAATATTATACCGGCAAAAATATTTAAAAAATAGACACTGTCGCCCTCGGGCAGGGTGACTTGTGTGACCAGATGCTAGAGGCCACTGAGCGGACATGCGAATTTTGCATGCGGCGAAAATTACATTTACCCCCTTGCCGGCAAGGGACCTCAACGCAAAATATGCACACGGCGCCATGTGCCACGTCACCTTGATGCCCTCTACTTGGGCGGCCGGGTCTATATAAATATTTTCGTCGGTATAATATTTTTGTAAATATTAAAAAATAAAAATTTAAAAATGAAAAAAATTCAGTGTAGAAGGCTCTTGTTTCCTATGGTATCAGCCCAAAAACTTGATGCACAGCCTTGTTACTGCTGGGCTTTGTTTTCGGTGGATCTGGCTTCGATCTACACTGCAGCCCACGAGATACACTACAGGGTGAAAGCAAAGTTTGTGCCACCATCCCATGGGCAACTCAATTCGAAAGGAGTCTATGTTGTCTCTCTTACAGCATCCAGCAGCTCATCCAAATTTAAATCTTCATATCCCTATATGGATTATTATAGAAAACGATTCTCTCTGCATATTCCTCTTCACTCCAACAGATCATCCATATACCTTCATATCACAATTTTCTATATGTTGTTAATATCTTCTGACCATCCATATATTTGTATTATTTTTTATAACCATATTTGTAAACCTAGCTGAAAAATCCAAATTTATTGTATTCTAAGACAACTAAGGGTGTGTTCGGATATCCCTTTTCCCAACTCCTCTCCTCTCGTTTTCCGCTCACACTCTTTTCGAACTGCTAAACGGTGTGTTTTTTTGTAAAAAGTTTCTATACGAAAGTTGCTTGAAAAAAATCAAATTAATCCATTTTAAAAAAAATCTAGCTAATACTTGATTAATCATGCACTAATGGATCGCTCCGTTTTCCGTGCTTACTGTGCTGATGGGAACCAGAACCAGCGAACTCACCCTAATACTAACTCTATCCAAGCATATTTCTCTCCCTCTCTCCTCTGTACCTGCCAATAGCCAGGAGAGTGACAGAAGAGGGGAAGGATGAGTGGAAGGACGAAGGAGGAGGGCTAATGGCAGACAGCGGACAACACGGCCAAAGGTGCAAGTGGATGATGGGTGGCACAAGCGGAGAGATGCGAGCGGCTGGGATGGCGATGCGAGTGTGGGTAGCGGGGACGACAGGAGTTGTGGGCAGAGAAGCTTCGGATAGCGCAGGCAGTGGCATGGCACGAGCGGCGGGGTGCTCCAGCGATCTCTCTACCAGATCCAGCGCTTCTCTGTCTTCACTCTGGCAAATTTCCACCACCAAATCCGGTATGCAGCTCCTCTCTACTGTTACTCCCCTCATGGTATGCAGTCCGGATGGTGGCGTGAGTTTGATTGGGAGCTCGACACTTGGGGTATGGCGTGAGGTTTCTGCTCGGATAACACCCAAGCTATTTTTGGTTGCCCGGATGGAGTATCTGTTGGAGACTGACTTTCATTTCCAATATGCCATTTTCAGGATGATGGGATGGAGTATTTGGTGAGGATGCTCTTATGGTCTCAAAACCATTCCGTCCCTCAACTGTAGAACTGTTTGATTGGTATCCCCTAACTTTTAAAATCGTTTATTTTTTATCCATCGTCTTAAATTTGGTGGATCTAGTATTTGGGCCTTCTGGAAAATCAAAATAAGAAAAGGATTACACATATTTCGATGCAAATCTTTCGCTAAACAAAGAAAAGGAAAGTAAGCTGGTGTGGTCATTTGGCTGTAGGAGAACCGGTCAAAGTAACAAATACTCTCTCCTTGACTCCATTAAAAAAGATAAAAACTTGAGTCTTTCATGGAGATTAAAGATAAGGTAAAATTAAATGATTAGGTGACTAATCAATTAAGATAAAATAGTAGGTAAGAAAATTAAATAAGAGATGTTATAATTAGTTGAGGAATAGATGGAGAAATTAAATTACGGATGGTTGTAGGTGAAGTAAGGTTCCATTCTATATCTTTTTCTCAACTTTCACTATCTCATTTTTCATGTGTACATCTCTTGATCTATTAAACGATGTTTTTTAAATAAAAGTTTCTTTAAAAAGTGTATTAGTAGATATTTTTAAAATTTTCGAGCTAATATTTAATTAATCACGTGCTAATGAGTACTTCATTTTGCTTGCCACTAATAAACCACACCGTTTTGCTTGTCCAGACGATTGGTTTTCAACATGCCATGCAACTATATTTTGGAATGGATCTAGTAGAGAATTGACGGGGCCCACTTTCATCCTACTGAAAATCAAATAGGAGTAGTCATTTGCATTGCAAATGGGATCGCTGTTATAGACTGTTAAGACTCAAAATTCAAAATGCTGCCATGAAAATTGATATTGGCTTCTTTCGAATGCAAGAATCACATGATATAGCTTAATTTCCATAAAAATCCCACGAATTCCTCCATTCAAATGATCACTCGAGGTTAACTGCAACTACTTCATTCAAATGATCCAGTTTAAGGCTGCAACTAATAACTACTGTACACAAACTTACAACAAAGGCAGGCAGCCTTTATCCTGGTAAAAAGTATATGATGCAACCAGAGTTCCCCCCTAAAAAATTGTTTTTGAGCAAAGAATAAGCCAACATTTATAGTAACCTCAAAGTACCAGAACCTGTACAACCACTGCTGCTAAACCCACTAGTCTTGGATGTCTTCTTCACCGGGAGCATATGAATGTTATGTTAAAAGCTAAAATTCGCCCCAACATAGTGTTACAACAGTGCATGTACATATGCATATCAGGTGGGTGCTATATAAATGACCCACCGAAAGGAGATTGTTGGTCTATGAGATTAATCTGAAGCCTAAAGTCACATTCTGAAGAAGGCTAATTTTTCCTGAGCAAATGGAACTTTCTCCAAGCTCACGACAACCTTAGAGCGGTATAATAACCGACTATTAGCCAGCTATAAACATATTTTAATGAGATAAAAAATAAGAGAGAAGAGTAGCGGACTACAGATCTATAGCCACCTGCAGCATGGACTTTAAAACACAATGTGTGTATGACAGGTGGGACCATATATTAATAGTATAGTAAGCAACTATTGTATGAATTGGCTATTAGATCGGCTATAGATGAATTGAAACTAGTAGTGGGCTATTAAACTTGCTCTATTGAAGGGGTTATGCATGTCTCCAAGATATAAAAGAATTACCATCCGCAGACAAGCACATTTAAGCATTGACAATCTACAGTATTTTGGGGGAGGTTGGGCATCAGCTCTCGTTGACTCTCACCTTGCTGCCGCAGCAAGCGCGCCCCTCGCCGGCGCCGCGGCAGCGCCGTCGGTGGTGGTGCGGTTGAGGAGCTCGCGGTTCTCCTTCCAGACCTCACCGTCGTCGTACACCTCCTTCTTCCAGATGGGCACGGACGCCTTGACTCGTCGATGACGTAGCGGCACGCCTCCATCGCGTCGGCGCGGTGCACCGCGGACGCCGCCACGAACACGCTCGCCTCCCCCGCGGGGACCGCCCCGAGCCGGTGCGCCACGGCGAGCCGCCGCAGCAGCAGGGGGCGGCGGGCGGCGCGGGCCTCGCGGACGATGGCGGATAGCCGGCGCCGTCGTGGCACGCTTTTCAAAGTGCTAAACGATACGTTTCGTGTAAAAATTTTTTATATGAAAGTTGTTCTAAAATATCAAATTAATCCATTTTTCAAGTTTGTAATAATTAAAACCAAATTAGTCACATGTTATTACCACCTCGTTTTGCGTGAAACATTTAATATTTATCTTCATCTTCAGGAGATTCAAACACCACCTTAGACACATGCATGGAATATTAAATATAGATAAAAAAAACTAATTACACAGATTACGTGTAAATTACGAGGCGAATCTTTTAAGCCTAATTGCGCCATGATTTGACAATGTAGTGCTATCGTAAACATTTGCTAATGACGGATTAATTAAGGTTAATAAATTTGTCTCGCAGTTTCCAGGCGGAATCTGTAATTTGTTTTGTTATTAGTCTACGTTTAATACTTAAAATGTGTGTCCGTATATCCAATGTGACACGCCAAACATTTTCGTTCGTGAACTAAATAGCCCCTAAACATTCACTCTACAAACTTTAGGTGGATAAACTTTAGATGTATAAACTTTAGGTGTATAAACTTACTAAAAGAGGAAAAATATAAAATATTTGAATTCGAATTTGAATTTAAATCGGGTATATAAACTTTTGACTTATAACATTCGTTTTACAAACTTTAGGTAGATAAACTTTAGATGTGTAAACTTTAGGGGTATAAACTTACTAAAAGAAGAAAAGAAAAAAAAAAGAAAAAAACGATCGCTGGCAGCGACTGAACGCTCGTCAGGAATTTCGCCAACTACTAGCTCCAAATCATCTATAGTCAATGTAATAGTTAATTCATACAAGTAGTTGCTTACTATACTATTAATATCTGGTCCCACCTGTCATACACATATTACATCTTGAAGTTCGTGCTGTAGCTGGCTATATATCTTTAGCCCGCTGTTCTTCTCTATTCTTTTATCTATTTAAAATATATTTATAGCTGGCTTATAGTGTGCTATTATACCTGCTCAGTAGTAGGATGATGAGCATACAGAATCCAGGACGTAATCAATTACGGGATCAATAATGCTGTTGCTGTGCTCCACCTCAAAGGAAGGACAACAGGATAAGGATCATTGGAGGAAGGATATCCGGTGTGCCTTCCTGTGTGTGTTGCGTGTATCTGAAGTATTTAATGGAGAGGAGGAGGGGTGGCGTGTGCAACAGCGCAAGGTAACAAAAATTAGTGGGGATTGTTTATAGTACTGCCGATGCAGTAGCAAATATTAACATATGAGTTTGGACCTATATGTCAACCATTTTTACTGTATTAGCAGTACTGCAAAATAATCTTTTGCATCCGCTAAGAAGCTCACCTCCTCGCTCAGAGCCTCGCACCGTACTGTGCTGTTTCATCGGGTTTTCAGACTCCGGCCAGAATCGTCCCCATCCGCTCCTTAGGAAAAATCATGATTTGTAAACGTGAAAACGATCAAACAACTACTGTTCTCGTCTCAGTATATTTGAAGTTTCGGACTTAGATATGGGTATTAAGAAAATATTAAAACTTAAATAGGAGAAATTTGTATTTTTGAGAAGGGTAGTTAGGTGGAAAAATAAGTTTCGGAGTATAATAAGTCTCGGTGCCAATCCAGCACAACTCGGTGCAAAATGGAACATTGGACTGGAGTCAAGGCTCTTGTTTTCTATGGGATCAGCCCAAATACCTCATGCACAACCTTGTTACTGCTAGGCTTCGATCTGCACAGCAGCCCACAAGATACGTACACTACTTGGTGAAAGCAAAAGTTTGTGCCACCATCCCATGGGCATCTCAATTCGAATAGAAGTCCATATTATCCTTAAACAATTTTTGTCCCTCAACTGTTGAACTGTTTGATTTTCATCCCTCAACATTTGGAACTGTTCGTTTCATCCATCGCCTTAATTTCGGTGGATCTAGTTTGTGCCTTCTCGAAAATCAAAACAAGAAAAGAAAATGATTACACATATTTTGATGAAAACCTGTCGCTAGACAAAGAAAAGGAAAGCAAGGAAAGCAAGCTGGTGTGGTCATTTGGCTGTAGGGGGGACCTGTCAAAGTAACAAATGCTCTCTCTATCCAAAATATAGGAACTTGAGTTTTTCATGGTGATTAAAGACAAGGTAAAATTAAATGATTAGGTGACTCACGGTTAAGATAAGAAAGTAGGTAAGAAAATTAAATAAGAGATATTTTTATTAGTTGAGAAAAATATGTGAAGAAATTAAATTATGGATGGTTGTAGTTAAGTAATTTAGATGCAGGTTATCTGCAGTACTGCAGGAGATCTCAATTGCTAAAATATGGTTGTAGTATACTAATGATGCCAGAAGCAACTATATTTTGGAGTTTTGGAACGTATGGAATAGTAGAAAATTGATTGGGGGAGGGGGCACTTTTTTTTTTTTGCTGGTATGGATTGTTAAGACTCAACGATGTTACCGTGTAAATAACATAACTTCATAAACCGAGAACTGTTGTCACACATTGATATTGGCTTCTTCCGAATGCAAGAATCGCATAATGTACAGCTTAATTTCCATAAAATTTCCATGAATTCGTCCAATCCAGAAGAGGCTAACATTTGCTCAGGGTTTCATGCAGAATTACTGATACATCTAACCATCACACGAGGTTAACTGCAACTACTTCATTCAAATGATCCAGTTTAAGGCTGCAACTAATAACTACTGTACACAAACTTACAACAAAGGCAGGCAGCCTTAATCCTGGTAAAAAGTATATGATGCAACCAGAGTTTCCCCCTAAAAAAATGTTTTTGAGCAAAGAGTAACCTGGAGGCAAGAAATAAAATGACAACAAATTGTAACCATGTATAAATAAGAGATAATATAGCCCCAGTTTCCAGTATCCTCACTATAGTGTCAGTAGGTACCTGGAAACACTGGCCATCTCCATGACATTTTAAATATCTTTCCAGAAACCTAACAAACATCACCACTTCATTATCCCCAACACACTTTTGATCCTAATTAAAACATGATAAGACCAGACTACTACGCACTTGACGCTAGGAACCTTCCACACTAGTAAAAAGACAGACAGGAAGGCCTCAAAGTACCAGAGCCTGTACAACCACTGCTGCTAAACCCACTAGTCTTGGATGTCTTCTTCACTGGGAGCATATGAATGTTATGTTAAAAGCTAAAATTCGCCCCAACGAGACGGCTAGTTCATCCCTGCATAGTGTTACAACAGTGCATGTACATATGCATATCAGGTGGGTGCTATATAAATGACCCACAGAAAGGAGATTGTTGGTCTATGAGATTAATCTGAAGCCTAAAGTCACAATCTGAAGGCTATTTTTTCCTGAGCAAATGGAACTTTCTCCAAGCTCACACAACCTTACCTTATGAAGGGGTTATGCATGTCTCCAGATATAAAAGAATTATCATCCAAAGACAAGCACATTTAAGTCCTTTAAGCATTGACAATCTACACTTTTTGGCATCTTGAGCTAAATCAACCAGGAACAGACTCGGAGGTGATGTGCCCACCATTTGCACCGCTGGCATTAAAACCAGTCACTGGCATGGTTCGCTGAGCAAAATCAAGCAGCAGCTGGCGTTGCTGATCATTTGTATGAGGGAGGCTTGCACGTAGCAACTCAACCGGCATCTCCCTGCTGGTTGCTTTGGAGACCTCAGATCCAATTACAGAGCCTGGTGACTGCATGGTAAACATCTGCCTAATACTTTCATACTTGCTGAGACAGTATTTTGTCAGAAGTCCAAAGAAAGCATCAAATGATGCCTGCCAGAGAGTCCGGTTTGACACTGTATAGCTGGCTGCGGCATGCTGGTCAGTCAGTAACTCAGTTGCTCGATCCAGTACTGATTTAATAATAAGAGAAGCCCCATCACCAGCAGAGCTAGCTAGAGGACGCAGAGGTGGCTGCTCAGGTGAACAGACCACAGCAGCAAGGCAAGCACTAAGAGCACCTAGTTCCATATGGCGCACACAAGATGAAAGAGTCTTTGCAAGAGTAACTGTTGTTTCTGCTGCACTAGAATCTGATGGTAAACCCCCGAACAAGTACCTCAGATGTCGAAAAATAGCCATGCATACTATACGGGTCAACTCACTTCCAGGGGTAAGAAGTCGAAGGTAACGTGACAAAAACTTGCGTCCTTTAGGAAGAGAAACAATGCGAAGAAAAACAAGATCATCCTTAGCAGCCAATCCAGATGAATGGCTTGATGTGCTCGGCCCGAGAGGGTCAACAAGCTGAAGTGATGCAGCTAAACCTTCAAGGAGGACCTGCCGTCTTCGCCTCAGTTGGAAACTGTTATCCTGTGCCTGACTAGACTGCAACAGACGGTCAATATCATCCACCTCAAGAAGAAGGCAGAGGGCATCTTCAACAGTGACTCTAGCGGCCAGCATTGGTTCTTTCTCCAATGGTCTCAGAGAAGACTTCTGATCATGAGAACCATCACTTGATGAAGGAAGGTCAACTTCAAGAAGAGAACGAGGCCTACGTATGGAAGAGAAGGAAACTCTTCCTACAGCATCAACCTGAAGATATGCATGATGGTCACCACTGGATCGGGACTTGGAAGGCAAGTCTTTCATTGACGTTGGGGCAAAATTGGCCTTTGGCCTAGAATTGGCACCCCTTTTCGCGATGCAAGCTTGGTGGTAATAATCAACCACATAAGGATCACTGCTGTGACTTGCTGAATGTTGCATTCTTAAGATAGATTCGATCTCTTCAGATGACATGTACTTAGATCTGAATTTTATTCCTCCACTATCACCATTTTGATTACCAGTATCAGGCAATGGTTGAGAAAAACGTATGTTGTGTTTTCCTCTTCCTGACCTTGATCTCTTGTCTCTTGATGAAGGAACACTGCTAACAGAATCAAATCTTCCTGTTAATTCTGGGGAGTGATGTTGGTAAAATATGTGAGGTGGTAAATTTAGGTAATTCTGATGGGATGGTTGGACTTGAACTTGTGCCAATCTCTGCTGCTGTTGAGAAAATAACAGTGATGACATCGGGCTATTTGGAAGTGATATTTGTTTCTGTAACATGTTCGGCAGTAGATTAAATTGCTCCCCAGCATAAAGATTGGCTTGGCTTGGCCAATCATTTTGCATTGGATTGTTTACAGGCAGATTTGAAGTGCCGAAGGACATGCTCCCTCCATACGGTAGTCCATGAGATAGTCCAGCTATATGATATGGAGAACTTGGAAGGGACATGCTTGGAGAACCCATTTGCAGGCCAGCACCAAGTGATGGAATGCTCCCATGGCGTGTAAGGCCTTGAGAAGTATAAGGTGATCTACCACCTGGCGGTGGAAAGGACGTAAATGAAGGAGATTTTGGTGGAATGATAGGTTCACTTGCCCGGTGCTGCAGTGGTTGCTGAGGATAGGAAGATGTTCGGCTCAATGGTTTGGCATCCCCTTGCTGCACCAGAGTGTGTGACTGTGACCACCATCTTTTACTTTCCTGAAATTCCTCATCCTCTAAAATGTCTTGATCTACCCAGTTAGGAAATTCTACATCTTCAGCCCAATCAACAGTTAGAGAACCTGAAAAGGGCATTTACATAGTTCAGTAACAAGTTGAGCCTTCAGGCATTAATTTGACTTTGGCTACATCCCAGAGTTCCAAAAGAATAGTTGTTTTTCAACAAAAGGGTGTAATAGACACAAAATAGCCTTCTTCTGGTCGATATTGATGGCATTAAAGTTTTGGAAACATGTGCAGTAATGCAGAATGGAAGCATTTCATAAGTGAGATTATATATAGCTTTCAACAAAGATGCATACAAAAGCTGCCATATTTCTCTTGGTGAAAATAGTTTTGTACAATTCTCTTCTCTTTTTTTTTTTACAATAGTCTATTGACATGAGTGATACAAATCCACAACTGTGTATAGCAAGTCAAAATTATACCAGCAATTAGCAGTGAAACGCAAAATGGCCGACTTCAACATATTTAAAAAAGGAACTACATGCACAAAAGATTATGCATATGTTAACATTTTTAGTCAACAATCTTTTAAAAACAAAGATTGGGCATCACATTTTATAAGGATATACACAAAACAAACTCCATAACACTCATCACGACTAGTTTTGTATTGGGACACAAAGATTGACTTACTTCCTCTTGAGATGGATCGTCTGTCACCAATAACACCAGGATTCCGTGTTCCACTAATGGTTCGGTTCAACTGACATTAAAAGATATAAATAAATCAGTGTGCGACAGCAGAACGAACGCATACAACAAAAACATAAGTTTTTAAGGCTAGAACAAAATATTATGAAGTTACGGTTCCATATGCAAGCAATTTGTCAGGTATAGATAAAAGTTGAGGCCTCATTAGTGATTATCCTGAATTCCTAATCCATTGGTTGCATGGGCTTCAACTAAGCAATATGATATAAAATATCCTTAGAAAAAGAACAACAGCCAAGCTAATCAATCCAAAACAACTTCAGACATTACAGATGTATCTAGATCTTCTATGTACAATTGGGCCTTAGATGCGGCAAAATACTTGCAGATTGCAAAACAGATTATTGCAATGCCAGAAGAAGCTAGATTCAGCCAAAGGACTTGACTAACCATGTGTCATTTATCCCGTACATGCTTGGCAGCAGGCAGGACTAGTTGTAGTGGAAATAGGCAGATAGCTACAACTACAAATGAATAAAATGTGCACTTGATGTTTAAGTTAGCTTAGCCTTGTGGGGTGGAAGGTGGGGGGATTAGTGACATGCAGCCTGAAGATGCAACCTTTCTGGGGAAAACATTTCTTGATACGAGAATGGATTACGGAAGAATTAGAGTAACCACTTAGCCAACAATGGTAAAGCATAAGTATCCTTAACATATCTAATACTTCCAAGGGTTACTGCAAAAGCATTTTTTTTTAATAATGGAACCTCAATTTAAAACAGTGGAGCTTGTGAAACAAACCTTTGCAAAAGTGCTCGCAAGATCATCAATATCGGACAAGTTACTCAGATTATCAATCTGCAGAACATAGTAAATTGAATCAGAATAACTCCACAACACTGAAAATGATAGTAAATCTATAATCTAAGGAGGGAAGTAGAAATTGAAAGTGCTACAAAATTAAAAAAAAAAGGGCATGTATAGAATGCAGGGTGCTCAAACATGCATGCATCCATAACTCCTTGTAGAGCCTGAGCAGTTCAAAGATTGATGGCCAATTGCAATGTAATATTAAACATAAATTTTGCCCATCACAATAAACTCCAATTGGCTATTTAGACAAGCACATTAACTATTTCAATTCAACCCCCCAAAAACCTTTTAATCCAACCAACAAAAATATAAAAGTTATAAATTGCAATTGCTCAAAGCTAGAAGTGTTAACCTGTAAGCTTAGGCTTACATGACATGACATGGACAATAAAAACCATCATTTGATCCTCAAGAAAATTTTAAGTCTGCTAAATAGTAATCATTGGCAATGCAATCTATCAACAATGCAGCAGAGAATGCGAGAGCAACTCAAGCATTTAAGAAATGGCAATACAGCCAACAGTTGAAGCAGTGCAGCATTTTGTAACGAACTAGATTATATGGTTTTTGCCCAATTATGCTATTGATCCCAAAATGCAGTAATAGTTCTCTTTGAGTTCCAGAGCAAATGAGCATTGGGCCAAGCAACACAAGGAAAAGTGTGCTAGAAAACTAACCAAACCAAAGATTCCATAGCCAGAAGCTATACAGCTATAGCTTGATGAACTATCAAAAGGAATTATAATTGGACTTAAACAAGCAAAGAATAGGCTTTTGACGAAGCAGCCAAAAGGCTACCTTGAACATTATCGATTTCACTGTCATATCCTGATGAAACATTCATAGTCACTATCAATTATCAAAAGAAGCATGCACTGTTCTAGTGATTCTCAACTCTACATGTAGCAACAGGATGGTCGCAGCAAAGATTCGTCTTCCATCCGTGTCTCATGAAATTCTACCGTTGCAATGGAACCTTTTAGCTATCAAACAACTGATAAACACCGTCATTCAACACACATCGATCTGCCTATAATTGAAGCACAAAAACATTCCAACATAGCCACTTCCCGGACACTACTGATGTGAACCTCAGCTCCACTAGTAAGACCCTAGAGGCCCACATGGACATTTATTCTTGATTCCTCCTAGCACTAAGCCTCCACTATCGCTTGCCGCCATGCCGAAAGGACTGTGTTATCGAGAAAAAGAGCTAAAGCATGCATGTGAACCCAAGAACACAAACGAATAGCACGACGATAGTTCACAACAAAGACGGCAATCTATGGGCATGAAGGCTCCTGAATCCTCGCACCTCTTCTCCAACAGAGGAGAGCCGGTACAGCCCTTCTTCTGCTCCTCCACTGAATCCACCGCCATTGGCATCACCACCGCCGCCGCCGCCATCCTCCAAGCAACTGAGCTCGAGCCCCTCCAGTGGCTCCTTCCCGAAGAAGGAGTACTGCGCGGCATCGAAATTATCTGCATCGAGAAAAAAGCGTCAGATGGCGCAGATCATACTAATCGTACGCAGTAAAAACCCACATCTTTTACCCCCAAAATTACAACCGAGAACAAAGAACAACAGCAAGAACATCACGAAACACCAATCAAGCCAACAAAAAAAGAAAACCAACAGACATCCTTTCCTAGTTGGAATTCGAGCAATTCTCCGTCGATAACCCAACGATTCGCATCGGGAAGAGACAGCAAAACAGATCAAGGCGCCGACTTTTCCCGCAAACCAAATTCAACGCCAACACAGCACCCCAAACTACTCGCAGCAGCAGCAGCTACCAGATCAAGAAGCCTCAAGAAAAAAAAAAGCCTCACCTGGAGCGGCCGCGGAGGAGGAGGAGGAGAAAGGCGCGCCGCCGCCGCCATCCGACTCGACGCCCCGCATCTCCGTACAAGAACCCTAGCAGCAGCAGCAGCAGCAAGCGGCGGCGCGCATCTAGGGGGGGCTAGGGCTTCGTTTCTTGGCACCGCGATTCCTCCCTCCCTCCCCCGCGCGCGGCTTTGGATCTGAGCGCGGCTGCGCGAGGAGGAGGAGGAAAGAGAGGAAGGATAGTAGATGATAGATAGATGGATAGATAGATAGCTCCGGCCTCACTGTTGCTTAATTACTTCTCCCTCTTTTCCTTTTCTCCTCCCCTCCCCTGCCTTAAATAAATATATATTAAAAAAATAGTTTTTGGGATATCCAACTACAAATAAATATAAAAAAAAGTTTTTGGGATATCCAAGTACTGTACTAGTGTACTCCTAGAGGAGGAGAATTTAGCAATCCCAAAAATAAGAATGACAAAAGTAAATTAGCAAAACGATATATTTTTTTCTTTTTTTAAGTAGGAGACTTGTTAGGGTTGCACTTGGAAGGCACACAAATAAGGAGAGAGAGGGGATTAGCAAGGGGGTAGGCATAGGAGAGAGAAGAAAGACTTTAGCTTTGGCTTGTTTGTTACTCAATCTATATTTATTTTCTTTTTGTGCTTGCTTTCTTTCCCACCTTTTCTCTCTTTTCATGGTGCATTTTTTAGGCCCTGATGCTTAAATTTATTCTAGTGTTACTGCTAATCCTTATCTTTCTTCTCTCTCTTCTATGATTATCTGTTGCACTGAAGAAGGTCTTGGGGTGGATTTTGGCACTCGGTTAGCAATTGGTTAGTGGTGAATAGAGGAATTGTTAATTGCCAGTGGTGGTGGTAGGTTTCCAATGTACTCGAGGATATTTGGGGGCAGGATCCTATGTAGTATGTGGTTCTAACTAAGTTTTCACATTATTTATATAGCTATAAAATGAAGCATATAAATCACTAATGCATCTATATCCATTCTAATACAAGTAGATAACAAGCGTAAAATTTGATGATCGTTTTGTGGTCTTTATTTTATTCAGAAAGGGCTACGTGGAGATTTAGAGACTATGGATGTGTTCGCTATTCCTGGTTCCCAGCTAGAACCGTCTGTACGAAAAACGGAGCGTTCCATTAGCGCGTGATTAATTAAGTATTAGCTATTTTTTAAAAAATTAATTAATTTGATTTTTTAAGCAACTCTCGTATAGAAACTTTTTTTAAAAAATGCACCGTTTAGCCGTTTTAAAAGCGTGTGCGTGGAAAACGAGGGAGAGGGGTTGGGAAGAGGGAATGCCGAACACAGCCTATGGCAACTCTATGTTTAAGGTCAATCAGTTAAAGTCAACCTATATATACATTTTACTCCCACCGTTTAAAAAAAGAACATCCCTAGCATCCTAATGCACGTTTAGTAGAGAGCATATGACTAAATGTACATTTTGTTTCAGTCAATTAAATGGTTCGAAATATCAAAAAAAATGGCTTTAGATATTTTTTTCCAGTAAAATATCGCAGCCTGCAGATACACCCCTGTAATTCCACACAAAACCAATATTTGGAATCTTCTCATGCAATATTTCCAGTCACTCACATAGGGTAAAAAAAAAAGTGCAGCTACAACAGAGAAGAACATCGTTTTCAACAGAAGACGCGAGTGGGGAACCTTGTTCACTACTGTTTCATCGGTCCATTTGGGGTTTGACGTTGTTAGCCATCAGCGTCTCACACCAAACGCCATAACCTACCAACAGGCAAACAGCCCAGTTGATCATTTCAGTTGTTCATTGTTTTTGTTTCTGAAGACATTTCATTTGTTCATGTACTTTTCCTTTCCTTTTTTTTCCCTCCAAACAAATAAATATGCCACTGGCCTCTTGCCCTTCTCCAATTGTTCAGCCTTCTCTAATTTTTTTTTAATTTTCTCAAAAGCTTCCTGTGCTGAAACGCCGTCTAGAAGAAGCTGTCACTGGCCGGTACCAAACATGTCAAAAGGAACACGCATTTTTTTTCTGAAAGGATCAAAAGCTGCATTGTGCGGATAGAAGTATTCGGTTCCGTTTGCTTTCGTCCTGCTTTAGTTCCTAACTTTTTTTTTAAAACTTTTAACATTTTCATCACATCAAAACTTTCCTACACATATAAAGGTTGTGTTTAGATGGTGGAAAAGTTGGGAAGTTAGGAGAAAGTTGGTAGTTTGGAGAAAAAATTGGTAGTTTATGTGTGTAGGAAAGTTTTCGATATGATGTGATGGAATGGAAAGTTGGGAATTTGGGGGAACTAAACACGGCCAAAATTCCAACTTTTTCGTCACATTGTTCTAATTTCAATCAAACTTTCAATTTTGGCGTGAAGTAAAAAACACCCTTCATTTAAAAGAGCGCTTTGCAGGACCACTTTTGTATTTCTTCGTGTGGGATAAATCCCTATTACACCTCTCTATTTATTAAAAAAATTTATCAACTATAAAACTAGATATTTTACGTCCCTTGACAATCATATGGAATGATGTGAATACTCGAGGATATTTGAGGGCAGGATCCTATGTAGCATGTGGTTCTAACTAAGTTTTCACATTATTTATATAGCTATAAAATGAAGCATATAAATCACTAATGCGTTTATATACATTCTAATACAAGTAGATAATATAATATAGAATACAAACTTGTTTCATATCGTGCTTTTTATGATTCTGAAATTCAAAAGGTGTTCTTTTTACAATTGATGAGTAGTTAAATGCAAGTAAAACACGTATATTTGGATGTCAAATCATGAAAACCACTTAGTATAAGTGAGGTTGTATTGCACTAGGGTTTTTTTTTCTTCTTACCAGTTTTTGATACTTAAGGATGTAAAATTATGTTTGATTGTTGATGGGTGTTTGCTGCACAAACTAGATACTCCTCCCATCTTAAAATCTATCAATTTTTAGCATTCGGCACAAGTATTAAGAAAAGATGTTAAAAATCAACTATTACATTTACTAGGTTGCTATATTTTGGATAAAAAATTAATTGAAGAAGTTGTTATATTTTAGAACTGATGGGGCAGTTAATTGTTTGGTTTCCTTTTTAGCTACCATGCATACGAGACTTTTATAGAATTATTGGTGGACAGAATATTCTTTGTCATGGGGATGGCTGGGAGGAATATGTTCCAAGGAGCTTGGTTAATCATCACATACTCTTAAAGCCTAAGGCCCTGTTTAGTTTTCATGCGAAAACTTTTATACTGTCACATCAAATGTTTGACACATGCACGGAGTATTAAATGTAGAAAAAAAACCAATTATACATATTGCGTGTAAATTGTGAGACAAATCTTTTAAGCCTAATTGCGTCATGATTTGACAATGTGGCGCTATAGTAAATATTTCCTAATGATGGATTAATTAAGCTTAATAAATTCGTCTCGCAGTTTACGTGTGAAATCTGTAATTTGTTTTGTTATTAGACTATGTTTAATACTTCAAATGTATGTCCATATATCCGATGTGACACGCCAAGGCTAAATTTTTTTTTGCCAACTAAACAGGGCCTTAATTCTGGAGCAAACACAAAACCTTAGTCTGGCTGCCCCAGAACCCAGGAATCTGCATACGGCAATGGCGAGAGTGATGTGAGCTTCCGCTATTACGAATCAACATTGACTTCTACTCCAACATTGCTTTCGGACCCGTTTGGTAGAGCTCCAACTTTAAAATTTAACTCCAGAATTTGGATTTGGGGTGATGTTGTGAAATAGCCTAACATAGCTCCACCTCTTTAGTTTATTTTGTGAGAGCGCTTTATCCGGCTATACTCTTATTTTAGGTGGAGCTGAAAATGTTTGACTGAGCTCCAGCTCCAATAGAAGTGGAGCTATAGGAGCTGGAGAGTCAAACATGCCCTTCCTCTAGCTACACAAGTGAAGTACGTATGATAGTAAGGGTCCATTTGTTTTGAAGGGAAATTATAGAAATTTTATAGGATTCTAATCCTATAAAACTTTTTCCTACATGACCCTTTGAAACAAAGGATTGAAAACTATTAAATACTGTAAAATTTCTAAGAAATGTCTCAATCCATACGAGTTTTGGAGAATTTTAACATGAGGTCCAAACTCATGGAAAGTTTATTATAAGCCTATCTCTCTTATCTAATTCCTACGATTTTCCGATGGTTCAATTAAATGATCATTCATATATTTTTTCTACGTTTTACAATCCTCTAATTTTTATAGAATTCCTATCAAAAAAAATTATGTTTTTCATATTCCTCCCTTTTCTCAATCCTTCGATTTAGAGGCCCTGAAAGTTTATACATTGTAGATATACTCCCTCCGTAAAAAAAATACTTGGCTGCTGCAATACGGCAAGGGGATTAAGGCTGTCTTTAGATCTAAAGTTTTTTTTTTCAAACTTCCAACTTTTCCATCACATCAAAACTTTCCTACACACAAACTTCCAATTTTGACGTCAACTAAACACAGCCTAATTACTTGGCTTGTTTTGGCTCAGGAGTTGTACCAGCAACATGTACTACTAGTGTACTATATTACTGGAAGCTAGTACGACTATCTTGTAGTTGTAGCTACAGTGAGCTTATGCTACACGTGACAGTTCCCTTTCGAGCTAAGCATTAACTTGATGAACATTAGTTAACTTCTTCATAAAGTTAATTAATATTTGTCTCCAAGAAACCTAAACCCCACAAATTAAATCTCCACAAAGATAGTAAAGTGCAGAATACCTACTACGGAGTACCCGGTCAAAAAAAAAAAACCTACTACGGAGTATCTAGTAGCACGCCATCCTTTAATATAAACAATTGCAGCAATTACATTAAACTCTATAAACCTAGTAATGCCAGCCAAATATTTAATACAACTTCAAACAACATACCATCGGATCTAGTAATGCCCCCATTTAAATTACTTATCATTTTAGTTTGGCCTAACCATTAATTTTTCGAAATCAGTACAATTTAATTACAAATAAATTAGAGTAAATTTCATAAACTACATATACTTTACACGATTTATCACAAAACTACATATTTAAGAATTTGTTTCACAAAACCACAGATTTAGTGTCTTCGTTTATTACAAAACTACATGTACTTGGCATAATATATCACAAAACTACATATTTAAGAACTTGTTTCACAAAACTACAGATTTAATATCTCCATCATCACAAAACTACTACAGGTTTTAGCAATGAAGACACTATATGTGTAGTTCTGTGATAAATAAATACACTGAATCTATAGTTCTGTGAAACAAGTTCTTAAATCTATAATATTATGATAGATTGTACAAAGTACATCTAGTTTTGTGATAAACGGAGACACTAAATCTGTAGTTTTGTGAAATAAACTCTTAAACTTGTAGTTTCGTGATAAATTGTGCAAAATACCTATAGTTTTGTAAAATTTACTCTTATATAATAGAAATATATTTCTTATGATAAATATAAATTATAAATCTAAAACAAACTGTACGAATATATAGAGATTAATGGTCAAATATAGAAATATCC